CACGCCGCAACAGTTATTGATACAATGTGCTTATTGTTGGTATTAGATTCTTGCTCGTCTGTAAATTCTAAGTTGCTTTAGTTTGTTACTCTGGATTATTGTTATTGTTGTAACTCCCCATAGCATGTTTCCCCTCCCATGTTGGTAATTGCTTTGTATTCGATTTCCGCTGTATATCTATAACTGCACAGGTTTATGTGGTGTCCAGTCTAGCCTCGTCACTACTTCGCCGGGGTTAGGCTAGACACTTACCAGCACATGGGGTCGGTTGTGCTGATGCTACACTTCTATGTATTTTTGCACAGGTCCAGGTTTTGAGGAACAGCAGCAGCAGTAGCTCGGAAGCAGGCGATTCATATTCACGAGACTGAGGTAGCCTTGCAGGCGTCCGCAGGCCCGGCGTCTCTTCTCATTGTTTTCTTTTAGACTGTTGCGTCCTTGTTTCGAGACAGACAGCTGTTATATTTCTTTCAGACCTTTGTATTTAGTTTATTCTTAGTGGTTCGTGAGTAATGTGACACCAAATCTTGGGTAGAGGTTGTTTTTGACTATTCCGCGTTCTAAATTCATCATTTTAAGACAGACTTCCGCTATTGTTCTTATTAGACTTTATGTTCTATATTGAGGTTATAAACTGTTAAAGATAATTGCTAGTGATGAAAAGGTAATTAAGTTGGCTTGCCTAGCTACAACGAGTAGGCGCCATCACGACTCTGATGGTGGGAAATTCGGGTCGTGACACCACCCATCCAGTCCATAACATGGGGAGAGATTTATTTATACCCTAATCAATTTGTGATTAAGGTTGCTATGTGGGTCTATGTGAAGGCTTAATTAAAATAATAAGTCTTTAGGCTTATTGAAAGATACTGGTTTCAAAAATAGGTTTATTTTTTAGAAAGGAATGGTTAACTTAAAATTATGTTGTAAGGCCTTTTCTAAAATAATCATAGTTGTGTAAAAGATAGTAAAACTATGAGTTTGTACTAATAATCAATATCTTATAAACGAAAAAACGTGTAAATATGTATGCCTTGGTTGTGTTTAAATTACTCATTTGGTCAAAGCTATTTGTGTTACACCCCATGTTTTCGCACGTAAAAGTATATCATAAGTCAATTGATGTAAGCTCAGAAATGAGATCCTCTTTGATAGTATATAAAGTAAGTTAATCATTTTACCTTGGTGGTTACAAATTATTCTCATGATCAGCAAGTACCAAGAGGGTTGGAAGGTTTAGAAGGAAAATGAATCAAGGAAAATAAGTTTCGTCGAAAGTTTGCAAGTTGGGAGTGTTTTAACCCATATTTTTGGGGTGTGACTTGGGTTCTCAACATTATGAATATTTGTGTGTTATATTTTGAAGTCAAGCGAGTTGCGAAATAAAAGTCGATGAAAGTCGTCACAAGTTACGTTCATAAATTTTACCGAAATTTGGGTCCAATCTCACAGAGATTTTGTCCCAATATACTTTGATTTATGGGGTGATGCACCTACCAAATTTACGGTCTACGAGTCTAGTTTCCAACACATTAAATCGTTTGTCAATACAACATCGGAGTAGAAAGATACTCGCATTTTCGCGAGACCGCGCAGGCAGCCCCGTTAGGACCCACTTGAGATGGCCACCGACCTTACTTTTAAAAGATGTTGCAGCCTCACTTGTCGTCATTTACCACCCAAAATGTGGTCCACAAGCTCTCCATAACCCCCCACTAACATATCTCCAATATCAAAGAACCAAACTCAAGGGATATCAACTCAAATCATCATCAAAGTTATTAAAGACTACAAGACGACGCTTCTATGATGTTGTGGTGTGAGTGAAGGCTATTGTGAGCTAAGTTGTGCTGAGATTTCGAATTGCGGATGCTTTCCAAGGTATGTATAACATCTTCTTGATTTTTCCTAAGGTTAATCTTGTGTTGGTTGTGTTGTTTGAGTGAAAATCATAAGATATCACTTGAAAGAACATGAGTATGGTTATCTATTTGTTGGACTATTTTGCAGCTACATATATTATTTATGGTGGCTGGAAATTATAAGAAATAATTTTATAATGTTATTATTGCTGTTGTTAAGCTTATATAGGTGTAAATTAAGTTGATTGAAGAAGAAAACATGAAATAGGTGATTCACGATAAAAGTTAAGGTTTTAGGCGTTTGGAATATTTTGAAGATTATTCTTATGATATTTTGGGCTGAAAATGATGTGGTAAACATAATTATAACATTAATTATATTGTAAGAAGATTCATGAAGAAGAATATGGATTAAAACTCTATTTTGTTGAACGTAAACGAGTTTGCCGCTCGTCAGGATTGTTAAACTCTTTTGAATGGATTATTATGAGTATTATTGATGTTGTTTGGGATGTTGTTGGCTGTTGTAACTTGTGGAAAGTCATATAAAAAGGGGAGGTGCTATCCATTTTATCATAGAATAAAGTGTGTCGTTCAAAAGTGATAAGTTATGCCGTTCAGATTGTGACGATATTATTGTTCAATGCTTGTAAACACAGGAGCTGCATTTAATTTAGCTTGAGGATTGGACGGGGTATTATTAGGTATGTAAGGAATTCCTTTATTTTCTTTGTCATGATTCCGTAAGTTACATTTCCCTTATAAGGAATTCAAGGGAACGATTCTTTGTATACGTACTAGTCCGACGAGTAAGGTTCGTTCACGAGTCTAGAAATAGTTATGCAAATGTTGAAATGGATTATGTTGGTCGCAATCTCATGTATTTTTAAGGAGTAAATAGAGCCTTCCGAGAGGTTCTTGTCTTCTATATGCAACAAGACGTCTAGACGTCAATTAAAGATTATGTAGGAATGGTCTATCGAATCAGAAGCAATATAGTGTATATATAATGAGTGATAGTTATACACGAATAGTCAATAAGGTAACACAATGTATAGTTTGCAGAATGATTCGACCTAAAGAATGCCAGGACTTCCAGTACTTATACGTTTGTGTTCACAAAACTTATAAAGAACCACGAAGGTTGTTACGCTGCTCTCAAGTTAAGGTTGATTATATATGAGTGAGATGTTAACAGACAATATACATTACCTATGGAGTCGTAAACTACATAATATGATAAGTTTAGCAATAAGAATATAAGTTGATAGAGCGTGAATCCCGTAACTATTGTTATGTATGAATGGATATATATATATATATATATATATATATATATATATATATATAATGAGTAGCCTCACAAGCTAAGCATATTACATAGCTATAAGTAGACAATATCATGTAATCCCCATAAAAGTCGTGATATGGAAATGGGATAGAAGTGCGATCCCGAAATGGTTACAAATGTGTTTTACGGCTAAATATATAGAATAAAAAGGATAACATGGCAAACGGATAAGGAATAACGATTGGTTATGGTAACGGGTCACTCACCAACTTATTGTTTATGAATATGAGTTTATTTATTGATGATTGAATGATGTATGAACGAATGATATCAAATGAATACGTATGAGACATGATTCCTATGGATGGTCTATGAATGCGTAGGTGTATAGTGAAGCCCTATGGACAGTCTATTAACGCATAGGTGCATAATGAAGGTTGGTTATGGACGGTCACTATTGTACGCATAGCCAGACCTCGATTTTGGGAGCTTTACGGACGGTCTACTATGTTACGCGTACAACCACCAGTTATTCATGTTTATGAGTGAGCCTTACGGACTGTCTCTTATGAAACGCGTAAATGTCACTTTTATGTCCTAGATATGTTTGATATGTCTGAGGTATGGATTTAAATATAAGGAATGTTAAGGCTAAACCTTTCCTTCATTTTGGAATGATCTCGTATCTACATGCATTTGCTATCACATAAAGAGAAGTTTGTATTCCTGAATTTCTGTATATTATCCAAATCTCATAAGTTATAGTATTCTCCATTAGTAGTACTTCATATTCAGTTAAGTACTGTCCTCTTTCAGTCAAGAGAGCATAAGGTCTTTGTATTTATAGTATTACAGTATTTTCACATGCATCAAGCTATAATCGGTGGGCAGGTCCCTATTGGGCAACCTCCGATCAGATGGCAAGTAATATGCCAAGCCTACTGTGGTCGAGCACCTATGAGAGAGCCTACTATGGCCAAGCAGTTACACGCATCGAGCCGTATAGGGCCAGATAGCTATTTTACATATTATATTGAGACAGTTGAGTATGTATAAGCAGTTAAGCATTGTTCTTGACAACGGAGGATATAAGCATTGTTCTTAACAGTTGATCTCACATACAAACTACGAACTTGTATTATTTTGCCTTTATAAATGAGGTTTCCTAATTAATGAAATAGGTATTGTACATTTTATTCTCCCGATTGACCATCTCTTTTGTATTTATTCTTGAATTAATCATGGGAAGGGTTGGTTGGTAGGCACCAGATAGTCTTGCTTGATCAGGTCGGGACACATATCCAAATACTTCTCCCCCAACTCTTGAGCTTTATCATTAGTCAAGGCTCTCCACTTGATCTTAGGCTGACCGTACACTGCTTTCTTCTTCCTTACTCTCTTGATCTCCAAATCCATTACTAAGAGCCTATGTTGTATCGATAGACACTCACTCGGGATAACCTTGCAATCACTACAAAGACCCTTATCACACCTTTTGAAGAGAAGGTAATCAATCTGAGTCTTGGCTACCGTACTCCAGAAAGTGACAAAGTAGTCCTCCTTCTTCTGAAAACACGTGTTAACTATCACCAAGTCAAAAGCTCCAGCAAAATCCAATAGTGAGGTTCCTCCCTCGTTCCTATCTCCAAAACTAAAAACCGTCATGCACCTCATCATAACCCCTAGTATTCTCCCTAACATAGCCATTAAAATCACCTCCTATGAAAAGCTTCTTGGTGTGCGGAATACCACGCACAACCTTATCCAAAACATCCCAAAAGTGGCTTTTGACCTCCTCGTCGAGGCCCACTTGAGGCGCGTAAGCAGAAATCACGTTTAATGTGAAACCACCAACCACTAGTTTAATACTCATCAGCCTATCTTTCACCCTCCTAACATCCACCACTAGCTCCCTAGGATCCCTATCAACTAAAATACTTACCATGTTCTTTCCCCTAGCACCACTTGAGTACCATAATTTGAACGCCTTGACCTCCCGAGCCCTCATTCCCACCCATCTATTCTCCTGGACACACACTATAATATTCTCCCTCTTCTAAAAAAACTCCCATAACTCTATAGACTAACTCGTCGATGTTCCTATGTTCTAGGATCCCACCCTCAGTCTAGCATATCCTCTACCCTTGTCCCTGGCCCCCTTCACCCCCCCCCCCCTCCTGGAACTCGTGAACATGACCTAACTCTAACATCGTTTAGTGTAGCCACTACACAAGCAAAGAACTATGTTAAAGAGCAGACATGCAAACAAAGTTTATGTGTAGACTAAAAAAATATATTCGGCAAGCAAGTGATACAAATGGATCAACTAATGGCGGAGAAATTGTAAGCAAGTCGAAGTAAATGCAATAGTTGTCGATGCCCCCTTTTTCTCGCAAAATCTGGTTTATGACATCTGGGCCGACAACTCGTTTCCTTTTGGGAATTGGGTTTGAATTGAAGAGTCGCCACCTAATGATTAAGTGCATTAGGACACTGAGAAGAGTTTTGATTTAGAAAACCAGAGATTGGGTAAGGGCTTGAAATTATCCCGAGGGGAAGGTGTTAGGCACCCCTCAAGATCCGCTAGTGTGGTTCCCGGCCATGCTATAATCGTGACTTTAAGTGCAAACAACAAGCAAGAATTACAAATACAAGGAAGTTTTCGTATAATGGTTGCGAGCAATTGAAATTAAAAGAAATTAAAGAAGCTGAAGTTTGGGAAGAAAGTAGCCTTTGAAATTCTGAAAATAAACAAGTAAAGGGATGGGGTTTTCACATAATTACTGCAAGTAATTGAAGTTAAAAGAAAAATTAAAGAAGCTGAAATTTGGGAAAAAGCAGTCTTTTAAAAATAAACAAGTAAAGGGAGGGGGGTCCTAGGTTTATAAATAATATGGATCACCCCACACAACACCCGGTAACCGTTTATACACGTGGTGTTATCACGTGGTCATCATATCCATATCTACCCTTTCCCACCCCGTTAAGGTATTAAACGCGGAATGGTCTCGTTTTACTTATTGCATGCTATTACCCGCCCCCATCCTATCAGTCCCGGAGGTGTTTGGGACTACTAATCCTAAAGGGAAGGGATACGTGGTTTTATGGTTTCAAAGGACAAAATTCTAAGGCGACATTCAAAACACATATGTACCAAATATGGGGAAGAAACACAACAGATAGAAAGGGCTCAAACAAACCTCCTTAAAAACAAAGAGAAGCATATAGTTTAGCAAGTCTTTACATGTACTGTTTAGGTCTTAATTAAACTTAAGAGTTGTGGCAGACTGATCTATTACATATTTCAGATAAGAAGCCCGAATCAAGCCTGCCTGCTGGTTGTAGTTAATAAAATCTAATTCAATTTATAAGTTACCCTATGGCTTGACTAAGTGTGGAACGAAAACCTATAGGCATGATATCTATTAGTTTCAGAAGAGAAGTATACTGATTTTAAAGAAGAGGACTTGTTAAAAACATAAATTCTGCAGATGTTAAGCATTTGCTACTACTGATTTAGACTTATAGGCAAAATAGACGATTCAGATTTAGTTGAAAACTCCTATAGGCATGCTTTCTAGGTGCTATTGATTTTAAAACATTTTTTTACAATCGAAATAGGAGTGCAGAAGTCCTATAGGCATGGTATCTAAATGATGTTAGTTATTTTAAACCTATAAACAGGTTTGCCTAATGATAGATGATGATGCGAAATTCAGGAAGTCCTATAGGCATGTTAGCTATATGATATGCAGCGTTTTGGAGATGACTTATAGACATGGTCTCTACATGATGCAGAAATGCAGAACCTATAGACATGGGTTCTATATGAAATGCAGAACCTATAGACATGGTTTCTATATGAAAGACATAACCTATAGACATGGTTTCTATATGAAATGCGTAACCTATAGACATGGTATCTATGCAATAAAGAAACGAAAGTTGAAAGCAGGATATAAGTGCAGAAGTATAATAATCACCTATGAACATGATATCTACCCCTTTTTGCATGCATGATTTACCCTCCCCTTTTCACTAAAAGCCCCAATAGTTATTACAAGTTATTACAGCCCAGAATAAATAAGAAAAGGTAAAATTACATCAGAGAAACTAAAAAAAATTACAACCAAGGAGAGCCTGATTCAGGTTTCCTGCCTGAAGCATGAAGTAAACCAACTCCAAAGACCAAAATCCAAAGCCTTTCTCATTTGGGTGTGTCATAGCTCCCAAGAGCCTCATGCACTCCGGGCAATGCTTACACCAAATACAAGATTGAGTCATAGTGCAGTGTGGAAGAGCCAGACCTCCAATGTCCAAGTTCAGAGGGAACTCAAGGTCCCAAAGCAAGGCTCACAGGAGGGGGGCAGAACTTAGAAACTAGGAATGAGTGTAAGTGCAGAGAAGGGATTCTGGGGAAAGGCAAAGATAGGTTGGTGGTCATACCTAGAAATTGGAAGTGTTGGCACACCCCAACCAGCCTTTTAGACATATTGTTTGGTAGTTAGGATCCCCTAAGGGATCAAGTCCAAACATGAGCAACAATTTGGATGTTGCCATGTTCTGAACTTAAACTCAAATACATAGAAGGCGACAGGGGTGCAGGGATTCATAGTAGAAACATACGCAAAGAAGTTGACATGCTAATTAACATTAAACATAGGCAGTAAAGCAGACAGAGGTGTAGGGATTCACAGTAGAAACATATGCAAAGGAATTAACATGCTAATTAACATTAAACATAGGCAGTAAAGCAGAAAGGAGTGTAGAAGCTGTAATGTAAACACATTGGGATGAGGCTGAAAACCAAACTAGAACATACCAGTTTCAGGGAAACAAAAGAAGAGAAAGCAGTAGTCTTGTAAAGCCAAAGTGCAAGCAAGCAGTTACAACACTATGATTTTAGAAGAGAACTATGAGATTGAGTAGTGTAAAAGTGTTGAATTGAGAGTGTGTAATTAAAAGTGTCTGAAAGTTGAATTCGAGCCCCTTGGTGAGAAAGGAGTCATGCCCTTTTTATAGTGTAGAAGGCAAGCAGAATAAGGTAGGAGAATAATTTTTAAAAAAAATCAGTTGTCAATCAATTATACAAGTTTCCCTTAAGTTAAGGGATACTGATTTCAAACGGGTAAATAATTAAGGAAGNCATGGGTTCTATATGAAATGCAGAACCTATAGACATGGTTTCTATATGAAAGACATAACCTATAGACATGGTTTCTATATGAAATGCATAACCTATAGACATGGTATCTATATGCAATACAGAAACGAAAGTTGAAAGCAGAATATAAGTGCAGAAGTATAATAATCACCTATGAACATGATATCTACCCCTTTTTGCATGCATGATTTACCCTCCCCTTTTCACTAAAAGCCCCAATAGTTATTACAAGTTATTACAGCCCAGAATAAATAAGAAAAGGTAAAATTACATCAGAGAAACTAAAAAAATTACAACCAAGGAGAGCCTGATTCAGGTTTCCTGCCTGAAGCATGAAGTAAACCAACTCCAAAGACCATAATCCAAAGTCTTTCTCATTTGGGTGTGTCAGAGTTCCCAAGAGCCTCATGGACTCCGGGCAGTGCTTACACCCAAATACAAGATTGAGTTATAGTGCAGTGTGAAAGGGCCAGCCCTCCAATGTCCAAGTTCAGAGGGAACTCAAGGTCCCAAGGCAAGGCTCACAGGAGGGGGGCGGAACTTAGAAACTAGGAATGAGTATAAGTGCAGAGAAGGGATTCTGGGGGAAAAACAAAGATAGGCTGGTGGTCATACCTAGCAATTGGAAGTGCTGACACACCCCAACCAGCATGTTAGACATATTGTTTGGGAGTTAGGATCACCTAAGGGATCAAGTCCAAACATGAGCAACAATTTGGATGTTGCCATGTTCTGAACTTCAACTCAAATACATAGAAGGGGACGGGGGTGCAGGGATTCACAGTAGAAACATACGCAAAGAAGTTGACATGCTAATTAACATTAAACATAGGCAGTAAAGCAGACAGGGGTGTAGGGATTCACAGTAGAAACATATGCAAAGGAATTGACATGCTAATTAACATTAAACATAGGCAGTAAAGCAGACAGGGGTGTAGGGATTCACAGTAGAAACATATGCAAAGGAATTGACATGCTAATTAACATTAAACATAGGCAGTAAAGCAGACAGGAGTGTAGAAGCTGTAATGTAAACACATTGGGATGAGGCTGAAAACCAAACTAGAACATACCAGTTTTAGGGAAACAAAAGAAGAGAAAGCGGTAGTCTTGTAAAGCCAAAGTGCAAACAAGCAGTTAGAACACTATGATTTTAGAAGAGAACTATGAGATTGAGTAGTGTAAAAGTGTTGAATAGAGAGTGTGTAATTGAAAGTGTCTGAAAAGTTGAATTCGAGGTCGTTTGGTGAGAAAGGAGTCGTGCCCTTTTTATAGTGTAGAAGGCAAGCAGAATAAGGTAGGAGAATAATTTAAAAAATCAGTTGTCAATCAATTATAAAAGTTTCCCTTTAGTTAAGGGATTCTGATTTCAAACGGGTAAAATAATTAAGGAAAGAGGTTGATCAAATACTTTTCCAAAGCAGCATAAGAAGGGTAAATACACAGAGATTTATTTAAGGAAAAAGTCTGATAGCACACGGTTTGTGCAAATAAGGAAAGGCAATCAATCAACAGCCAGTAAAATCAAAAATTGAAGATTTCATGTGAATGAACCAGGTCAGGAAGATGGGAAAGATCTTGACTTAAGGAAAATCAGTACTAATCGATTAAACCTAAAAAAAGGATTCTGAATCATAAGTTGGAAAAACCTTTTCGAAAGAAACAATTTATCACACATATAAAAACATACAGCCACACTTAAGCACGAAGAACTATTGCTATTCAGTAGAAGAATTTAAAAGTTCAGAGTCGTAAACAAAGAGATTCAAACATAGTTCATAGACTCAGAATGAGTCTAAAAGAGTCGAGGGTTCCAAAATAGAACCCTAATCCAAACACGAGAT